GGGGGTTGTGTTTATGGGATCATGTGAATACTGAATTGACATATTTCTAAAAAAGAATTATAAAGTTTTTATTTATCTCAGCACAGCTACTTTAAACTCTGTTTCATCACATTCTAGGGTTACTATTATGCATAAAAACCCTTATACAACACTGATAGGAATACTGAGATAGAAGACAAAAAATAAATTTAAAAAATACAACCATCAACGTATTTCAAAATTGTTACTTTATTGTAACAAAAGTTTTTGAACAGTAAGATTTTTTATGTTTTTTTAAAGAATTCTCTTCTGCTCACCAAGCCTGCATTTATTTGATCCAAAATACAGCAAAAACAGTAATATTGTGAAATATTTTTACTATTTAAAATAACTGCTTTCTATTTGAATATATTTTACAATGTAATTTATTCCTGTGATTTAAATGCTGATTTTTTTCAGCATCATTACGCCAGTCTTCAGTGTCACATGATCCTTCAGAAATCATTCTAATATGCTGATTTGCTGCTCGAGAAACATTTTTTATTATTATTAATAATAATAATAATAATATTTAAAACAGTTGAGTACATTTTTTTCAGGATTCTTTGATGAATAGAAAGATCCAAAGATCAGCATTTATCTGAAATAAAAATATTTTGTAACATTATACATATTCAAAAGCTTGGAGTCAGTATTTTTATTTAAAAAAAATGTTTATTTGTATTTTTTGGGAAATGATAGAAATTAATACTTTTATTTAGCAAAGATGCTTTAAATTGATCAAAAGTGACGATAAAGACATTTATAATGTAACAAAAAAATATATATATTTCAGATAAATGCTGTTCTTCTGAACTTTCTATTAATCAAAGAAACCTGAAAAATTCTACTCTGTTTTCAACATAATAATAATAATAATATTGTTTTTTGAGCAGCAAATCAGAATAGGCCTATTTGAATGATTTCTGAAGGATCATGGAATAGAAAGATCCAAAGATCAGCATTTATCTGAAATAAAAATACATTTATAATGTTACAAAAGATATTTATTTCAGATAAATACTGTTCTTCTGAACTTTCTATTCATCAGAGAAACCTGAGAAAATTCTACTCAGCTGTTGTCAACATAATAAAAATAAATATGTTTCTTGAGCAGCAAATCAGAATATTAGAATGATTTCTGAAGGACCATGTGACACTGAAGACTGGAGTAATGATGCTGAAAAAAATCAGCTTTGAAATCACAGGAATAAATTACATTTTAAAATATATTCAAATAGAAAGCAGTTATTTTAAATAGTAAAAATATTTCACAATATGACTGCTTTTGCATTTTGGATCAAATAAATGCAGGCTTGGTGAGCAGAAGAGAATTCTTTAAAAAACATTAAAAATCTTAATGTTCAAAAACTTTTGATTGGTAGTGTATATCATAAAAATGTTATATTAGTGCTACCATTACAACAGCAATATTCACTGTAACTTTGTCATTGCAACATTTTAGTGCAGCCTTCACTAACAACTGCAACTGGATTTATATGTATTCCTAAATGCAATGTTATGGTCACTATTGTTGCCATCAACATGTTTACTCATTCTATGACCACACTCAACAAAACTGAATTATTGTGAATTCATATATTAATGCTAGACACCTTAAAAATAACATGTACCAAATATCTTTGTCATATCTTTATGTTAAGATACTTTATAGCCTTTTGTTTTGGAGCTTTGATGCAGCCATCATCATCTCATGGAGATAAACTGCCCTGGTCATGTGACAATTTGCACTAACCATGTGACACTGCACATATTTAATTGAGACCCTTTATTTTTTCCATATTTCCAGGAAATGCACTAAAACAGCAGTCAATAACATTTTTAGAGCTTTATCAATGAAAACCTTCTTTACGGCCACTATTGTGACCGGTGGGATTATGGGTAAAGTGCGGGCCACTGCTGCGATATCAATAGAGACACAGCTGTATCGATACCTGTATCGTCAAGAAGTATGTGACAGTATCGATGCTTCGAACACAGCCCTAGTATGCAGTCTTTGTATTGCATCACATTCAGTACAAACTGCAAACTCACATTCAGTGGCACTGAAGCCAAACTCTGCAGAAAACACGAGTAAAAAGACCTCTAACATTAGTCTTTACTGCCACCTACTGCCTGAGTAATTTACTTGCAAGGCCTCCAATCTATGATTGCTACATGCACAAAACCCTGAACCTCAAAAGCAGTCAAGGCACATTTTTACACAAACTTCTGCTGAGGTGAGTCATCTTAGTCTAAACAAACACAATTCCTAAAATATAACCCGAATCATCCACTTCATAAGCCACAACAGTTCACGGCCCTTTCATAGGTTTGCAAGGTTATAGGTCAACAAGTTTCTATAAAGCAAGTACGGTGAATGACCTTGACCTCTACAGTGCTTTGACAAGGTGTTTTTCGCTGAATGTATATCAAAACACTGGCATAGAACCAAGCTTGACATTACTGAGTCATACGAAACAATATTAGACTGCTTTCACATTAGGAAGCAACTAAACTTGCATTAGCAGTGAAAATACCAGTGCTTGCAAGTGCAAGATAGTGTGAACCTTTTGGCAAATATCTGATATATTCAGTCAGTATACATTTATATTTTTAATTACTATTTTTGGTGAACAGAGTACAGTATTTAACAACTATACAAGACATTTAAGATCAATGCAAAAAAAATAAAACATCTAAAATACATTCAGGTGATATTTTTTAACTGAACAGTTATAGAAACGTGCTAATGTGCGAGACTTCCTATTCATTAGTCGCTATTAAATAACTAGAAGAATAAAGTGCAATAAACAGTTAAACTATTTGTGCTACAAACAGTTTGTCATGAATCCTGTTTGTCTAGAATGTACTGCGCAAGAACGACCAGTAGATGGCGACAAAGCCTAACATAATTCATAGAGGGTTTCATAACACACCATAACAACATTTGAAATTGGAGTATTATAAACTATACCAGACTAAGAGTTCAGATTTCCTACAACATTTCCAACTGATAACCAAATTATCACTCAGTACAGCTTTAATTCCTTCAAGAATGAAATGCAAGTGGATAATATTCCAAATCAACACATCAGAGCCAGTACTGATCTAGTTTATGCATCTGAACAGGCTGTGGTTCAGCCAAGGTCAACTAACACGTGCAGAGAACTTCAAAAGCTGGCCTTCAACCAGAGGTTTGTAAGTCCATGTTCTTGGACTGTGTCCTGATGTGACTGAAACCACAAGCTGTTTCAGAGTAAAGCTCTGGCCACATGCATTATACCTCCAAATTGACTATAACTCGTCAAATGTCCTATCCTGAATCACAAATAAAAATACAATATGATTGTTTATAACCAGAATCTGAATATTTCAAATGGAATTTCTTTGTATTTTATCAAGGAAGGGGCTGCAATATCAAGACAGCACCAAAACAAACAGAAATAGACTCATTTTATCTGCATCACCACAAAAATACACCCACTTATTAATATTCAAGAGTCAAAATATTTAATATTTGTAAAATATGCTTTACCTTTTTGTGTACAATGACGTATACAGGTCCAAGGATAGGTGAGTATTTTTACTTAGTGGTTACATCCTTACATTTCTAGTTAGTAAATCAAAATTTTATGCAAAATTGTTCATGTGATTTATTAAAGTGTTACCCGGTTCAATATGTACATCTTATTTTATAAATGAACTTGGCCTGTGTCTGTCAACAGGTCTCTTTCATTGGTCTTCATTAAACTTTAATTTTTTATATAAATACATATACTCCATTAAAGTTTTTTTATTTAATTTTTTATTGAATGTATATAAAGATAAATACACACATTTACAGCTCAAAACCGATTTCAACAATAAGAGATATAATATAAACGATATACAAAGAACCAGGAAAATAACCCAAAAAAACATTAAGCCAGGGGTGATATATAATGTAAAATAAAATAAATTCGAGAAGAAAGAGAAAGGGAAAAAAATGTGCTAAATCCCTTCCTCCCTTGTAGTCAATATCACATTATAAAAAAGCATAAATATTATACATCGTGCACAACGTATAGGATTTTAAGGTTTTGACATTGCTGGAAGAAGAGATAGTTTCCAAATAACATTTCAAGTCTTTACAAAAAAAATTATAAATAGAGGTTTAACAGACAAAAATGTGCATTTATGTATAAAAAAAAAAACTTAGCTAGGAAAAT